CCTCCAACCTTAAGAGATTTGCCAACTCCAAGGTTATTAAACCTCAAAACCAATTCTTGTGGGGGTTTAGAGCACAAATCTGGACCAACCGGTAATGGACAAAGTAGAGTCTTCTAAGATGCAACCTCGTAAACATTATGATATAACATTCACCGAGTTGCAGCAATTGTTCAATTCACATTAGAACAGAGCCATCTTTCCTACCAAAAACAAGATACAAAAGTGGGAACTAATGAACATCTAACGGTCTATGCTTGCACTCTTAAGGATACTTCTGAATGGCTATAATAATGAATATATTTTGATTGCTGAGCTCATAAAGAATTTGTCTAATGAGACTTTGTGTTCCCACTTGGGAATGCTGGATACCATCTTGTTAACCTAACTCATTTTGTAGGTGACACACAAGGCAGCTAACCAAGATTATCCAACAAACAGTGGAAATTAATGGCATTCAAAAGTTTAACTATATGTCTCAACTCGTCCAAAACAGTGTCTACAATGGACAAAATGATGGATAGGAAAGGAGAACAGAAACACTGACTGATGGACATGTCAGGGAGTTACCTAGATTCTAATCTGTGGATCTGTCATATATTCCAGGTTCCTGCATCTGTTAGTTCGTATACGGAGACTACTGGCTTGAGAGAGGCGTAGATAATCTAACTGTGAAGATTTGCAGCTGTTCCTGCATCTATTGAACAGGATAAAGAGATTCCAGTGAATTGGTTTGAGACAAATGTAAATAGTCCAAATGTTAAGATTTCCAGCTATTCCTTCATCTGATGATCAGGTTAGAAATGTTTCTACTTACTAAGTTGAGAGAGATGTGGATGACTCAACTGCCAAGCTGTCCCTTCATCTAGTGCATTCTTCGAATCGTAGTCTTTATGTTGTATGTCATCTCTTCAAGCAACGTGTTTGGTCACATCTTTCACTGTTATTAATCTTCAGTCTGTAGATGCACTAATATTAAACATGGTTTTCTCTTCCTCAAACATTTTTTAAACAGCACTGGATTTTTTAAGAGGTTTTGGTTTAAATTTAGTTCACATATCGTCAACTGGTTTATGTGAACAATTTCTTAGGATTACCTGCTAATGGACTTTATCACCATATTTTTACTACAAGTGCGTAACTTAGTTATATGTATATGTGGCGACATCTATTAGAGATGCCCTTAAGTATTAATGTTAAAACACGGCGTGTATCAGTTGTGATAAGATTAGCTACTACTGTTAAACTAGATATTGTTTAGTTGGCAGTTTGAGGTTAACCATAACTAAACTTAACTTTAGACATAATTCTAAAGAGTTTGGGCTAGCGTTTATTTAATTATGCTAATGTAATAATACAAAAAAAAACGGGAAGACCGCCAGAACTGACCTCTTGGTAACCAACCCACTTTTGAGAACACAAAATGATGTAACAAAGTGTAATACACAATTCTGATATTTTTTTATTTAGTCAAGAGTACTTTGTAGATTTTTATGTTTGTACATTTATGAATGACAAGAAAAGTACAAAAAATGTCCTCTTGAGAAACTAAAAGATAAAGATTTATTGTACTTCTTGTCTGTACACAGACGTACATCTAGTCTTTCAAAGGGGAACAATTGTCCAGACATTTGAAGTATTATTATATATAATTACACTCAACATAAGGCGTTTTATATTTTTGCCACTGCATTCTGTATTCAATCCTTTAATATTCTCAATACTGATTTTATAAGAACTCTAATTAAGTGTTAGAAACTGGCTTGTTTTCGAGCTACACTGTTTTCAAAGTGAAACAGTGTTAGAGATTCTAGGTTTCTAGCTACATCTTTCAAAGTGAAACAGTGTTAGGGATTCTAGTGAGCTACATCTTTCAAAGTAAAACATTATTAGAGATTCTAGGTTTCTAACTACATCTTACAAAGTGAAACAGTG